TAGAGTTTCAGTAGCAATTTGACTTTGCTTTGGGGGCTCCCTGGGCTAGACATGTACATTAAAGCCATGAGACAGAACGATACTGACCAGGGATAGTTTTGAGACCAAAAAGAGTAGCAGACTTAAAACTGAGCCAGGAGGAAAATCAATGTTCGAGGACTGGGCCAAGAACAAAGTCACAAATGCATCTGAGAAAAGAGCATGCAAAGTCTTAGGAAGAAAACAAGAAGAGTTTATTTGGCAGAGATTTTTATCTGAGCATCAATCTGCTTCTTCTTCCTTCTAGACTATTTTTCCCAGCCTACCAGGAAGTTCGGTCTTACCATATGATTAAGCTCTGATTAATGGAATGGGAGCAAAAGTGTTGAAGGCCACTCTCAAAGCTGATGCTTAAAAATCTCCCATTATGATCTCTCTTCACCATCCAGTGGCTCAATGTCAACACCCAGAGGAAGCCAGAAGCGCTCCTCATCCCCTGAGGGAAAGCACTATTGGATTTTACAGAGTGAGAAATAAACTTCTTTTGTGTTAAGCCACCAAGATTTAGGGGTATATCTACTGCAGCAGAAGCATTGCCTTCACTCCTACAGTGTGGAATCATAGAAGCCAAGGAAAGAGGCCATTTCAAAAAGGAGGGGGCATTCAACAATGTCAACTGACGGCTGAGAAATCAAGTAAGTTAAATACTGGAAAGAGACTCTCAGATTTAGCAACAAATAGGTCCTGAGTGACCTGCATGTATCAATATTTGCAACTGAAGATTTTAGAATAAACCTAAATATATCTAGGATCTTGTTTTGAGGTTGTTTCTGCACTCATAAACCAATTCAACTATTTTGACAAACTTTGTGTGGGGGGCGTTTTCAATGTCATTTTTCAGTCAAATAAGATTTCTGAGATTGGTTACATGATTGGATTTTGATTTATTGACTTGGTCCTCAGTTTTGACTGACTGAGCAGATTATTTAACTTTGACTCAGTTTGAATGAAAAAACAAAGCCTGTTCAAAGTGTCAGAGAAAAATGTGAGATTTATACTAATCAATCAATCAATGAACCAATGGCTGTTTTGCCTGACTGAAACAATTACACCTACTGTGAACTCTTTGAATTTTCTAAATCAGTGATTTAAACCTAAATTTTATACCCACTAAACCTTAGTGTGTATAATAGTCATGAAGACTTAGTTAAAAATGTAGAGGCCCAGAACCCCACATCCGAATATTGTAATTCAGCAAATATTGGGTCTTGGGTCCAAGAATTCACATTTTTTTTTGAAAAGCACTTCGGGTGATTCTGATAGGAGCGGTCCTCAGCCCACACTTTGCTAAACACTGATCTGCATCTACTGGAATGCTTTAAAATTCAAATTTGTTCTCAAAAGAGGAACTACATCTAAGCCGGAGGAGTTGGCATCAGAAACAAAATTTGAAAAAAAAAAAACAGAAAAGCATTTTTGTTATAAAGCAATGGCAGGGAGAGTTACAAAAAGCAGTCACATTTTTCTTTCCTTATAAATTTACAGGCATTATTTACTCCAATTTAATACATACTCTCCTCATTGTGAAATTCAAATAAAATGTCAATTCAATGATGACATTTTCTCCTTTCAGAGCCCCAGAATACAATTAGCAAGTGATGCAACAAGCTCCTATAGTATTTCGTTGCATTATGAACACATTATGAAAACAAGAATGGTTTTTACCAATATTCAGATGCACAGAAAGGCAGCTGAAGATAATATCACCTACTGCATTCTGCTATTGCCTGAAGCCTGTGCCTTAGGCATCTCGCACAATGCCTGTTTACCATTAAAATTTCATTTACTCCCATTAAATCGATTTCTGAAAGAATTTCTCTATTAGCAGCAATTTCATATGTGGAGAAATAAGCAACTGAGCCTTTCAAAAGCTTGTATACAAGAGGTTTATGGGGGACTCCATATTCCATGCCCGGCCTGAGTTTGTGCTGAGCTAACTTCGGTAGGTAACCCAACTAATTTGGAAAAAAAGAAGGAAAGAAGGAAGGAAGGAAGGGAGGGAGGGAGGGAGGGAAAAAGGTAGAAATGAGAGATTGCAGTTTATCAACTCCAGTGGACCAGAATAACCAATTTTAGTGATATGAGCCTGTACAATGACTATAGTCATCATACACAGCATAGCTTCATATGAACTATCTACTGACAAGTTGAAGGAAAGCTTGAAAAGCTGAATTAAAAGGGGAATTGGTTATGCATATAAACTTTTGGCAAAACTTGAAAGCCAGTTTTCATCAATAAGGTTATATGCCACTTTTACATGATAGCATCATTCTGACAGAACCTTAAACCCCAGCAAATTCACCTTTTAAGACTGCCCTCCCACTCCTTTTCTTTATAATTTAAAGAATAGGACCTCACCCTCCCACCCCATCCAGATGCATATCCATTTAAAACACTCTTTCTTCTGCTTTCTCTTTATTCTCTCTGGATCTCAGTTTCCTCATTTGTAAAGATGGCATAGTAATAGAACCAACCTCATTCAGTTGTGAGAATTAAATGAGATAAGGAATGTAAAATGTTTAGGAAAATGTCTGGTCTTTTGTAAGTCTTATACAAATGTTGTTCAAGAAAAATACTAGGCACAGGTGTTTCTGCCATACCACCATATGTATCCATTCTTCACTTTTTTGCAAAATCACACACTAAACATAAGAGCACTCATGGGAAAAATAGGGTCAGGAGCAGACACTGCAAAACCTAGGGCACTTTTTAACCAGGACACTAACAAAAACAATAAGATTCTGGAAGATACTAGAAGAGTTAAGTCTCCACCGGTCTTTGCCCCACAATCTGAGCCAGTCTACCCTTTGAGGTCTCAGACCCTGGAACTCAAGCTTCCCTTTGGAGATACAGATCTTTAACAAGAGCCACTTTACAAAAAGACAGTTACATCCAAAATAAAATATATGATTCAGAAGTTTGGGGGGTTCTTTTGTTGTTATTTTCTATTTTTCTTTTTTTTTTTTTTTTTTAAAAAAATTCTTAAAATTTTTTTTTTTTTTTTTGGTCTTTATTGGAGTATAATTGCTTTATAATCGTGTGTTAGTTTCTGCTTTATAACAAAGTGAATCAGTTATACATATACATATGTTCCCATATCTCTTCCCTCTTGCGTCTCCCTCCCTCCCACCCTCCCTATCCCACCCCTCTAGGTGGTCACCAAGCACCGAGTTGATCTCCCTGTGCTATGCGGCTACTTCCCACTAGCTATCTATTTTACGTTTGGTAGTGTATATATGTCCATGCCACTCTCTCACTTTGTCACAGCTTACCCTTCCCCCTCCCCATATCCTCAAGTCCATTCTCTAGTAGGTCTGTGTCTTTATTCCTGTCTTACCCCTAGGTTCTTCATGACATTTTTTTTTCTTAGATTCCATATATATGTGTTAGCATACGGTATTTGTCTTTCTCTTTCTGACTTACTTCACTCTATACGACAGACTCTAGGTCCATCCACCTCACTACAAATAACTCAATTTCGTTTCTTTTTATGGCTGAGTAATATTCCATTGTATATATGTGCCACATCTTCATTATCCATTCATCCAATGATGGACACTTAGGTTGTTTCCATCTCCTGGCTATTATAAATAGAGCTGCAGTGACCATTTTGGTACATGACTCTTTTTGAATTATGGTTTTCTCAGGGTTATTTTCTTGTTTTAACACAGGAAAGTGCCCAGGTTCTTAATCTGTATTTACAGTTTTCTCAGGTAGTTTAGCATAATGGACAATAGAGCAGGTCTCCACACTATTGAACCAGCCACCGTTTGCACTAAAGGCAAACATTTGGAGACTTCTCAGCTTTTTTTTTTTTGAATCTCTTCAAATATCATTAAAGCTTGTATTTTATTGAACTGTGAAAAAGCTGAACCTTGATCACCTCCAAGAATGGTCACACTACAAAAAATCATGTTTGGTCCAATTTGTTTTCTGTGTTATGCTGACATCATTCCCGTAATTACCAATTGAATGTGAGTTGATTTGTATTTTAAAATATGTGCTGTAGCAGAACAGACTGTAGATGTAATTTTAAAAAAAATTCAAAGGAGTTGAGCATTTTGCTATGATAAACAGTGCCTCAAAAGTCCAACCCCCTCCCCACACTGTATTCTTTTCAGAAGTGACAACCTCCGATCTTTTTTTAAAATTTTATTTATTTTTTATACAATGGGCTCTTATTAGTTATCCATTTTATACATATTAGTGTATACATGTCAATCTCAATCTCCCAATTTATCCCACCACCACCACCATACCCCCTGCTTTCCCCCCTTGGTGTCCATACATTTGTTCTCTACATCTGTGTCTCTATTTCTGCCTTACAAACTGGTTCATCTGTACCATTTTTCTAGATTCCACATATATGCGTTAATATACAATATTTGTTTTTCTCTTTCTGATTTACTTCACTCTGTATGAAATCTCTAGGTCCATCCACGTCTCTACAAACACCCCAATTTCATTCCTTTTTATGGCTGAGTAATATTCCATTGTATATATGTGCCACATCTTCTCTATCCATTCATCTGTCGATGGACTTTTAGGTTGCTTCCATGACCTGGCTCTTGTAGATAGTGCTGCAATGAACCTTGGAGTGCATGTGTCTTTTTGAATTATGGTTTTCTCTGGGTATATGCCCAGTATTGGGATTGCTGGGTCCTATGGTAATTCAATTTTTAGTTTTTTAAGGAACCTCCATACTGTTCTCCATAGTGGCTGTATCAATTTACACTCCCACCAACAGTGCAAGAGGGTTCCCATTTCTCCACACCCTCTCCAGCATTTGTTGTTTGTATATTTTCTGATGGTGATACCTCACTGTAGTTTTGATTTGCATTTCTCTAGTAATTAGTAATGCTGAGCATCTTTTCATGTGCCTCTTGGCCATCTGTATGTCTTCTTTGGAGAAATGCCTATTTAGGTCTTCTGCCCATGTTTTGATTGGGGACAACCGCTGATCTTGTTAGAAGTTTGGAGTAGTGTGTGCATTGGTGCAGCCTGGTGGTTAGCAAAGGACAGTCAGACTTGCTATATTTGGCTAATATATTAATGAAAGAAGGCAGCTCTATTTTTTTAACTTCCTTTATATCTCAGCCAGTAATAAACAAACAAATAAAACTCAACTCCAAGCTTTCTCAGAGGACATTCTTTTGTTGTTGGGTTTTGTTTTTTTCATTTCTTTGATCATCACTCCTTGCTTGTTTTGTTTTGTTTTTTTTCTTTTCTCATTTCTCCTGCACAACTGAGATGGAAAATAAGTAGATTTATACTTCTTGTTCTAAAACCAAGAGCTGTTTCCCTGAAAGATTTTAGCTCCTAGATTCTCTGAGGGTAACTAATGGAATGTGATATTAAAACAAGCAGCAGTTCTCAAATTGCTTGTGGACCCTCTTCAGGATAACTGGTGCTCATATAGATTACTTGTCACACTCACTCTTCCTGCTCTTGTTGGGGAACAATATCACCAGAGGAAAGAGGAACCAAGAACTGCTATAAATAAGGCATCAACTGCTGTACCAGCAACAAGAAAATAAGTCTCGCTATGTTGTCAACATTTGTTCTACTAGATATGTGGCCACAGCCTAGAGGGAACGTAACCACACTCTAAGGACCCCAGTGGTAGAAAAATCACAATACAGAACACAAGTCATGGCACTCCATCTCTCCACAGCCCCAGGCTACACAAGTTTCTCTGAAAGGTAAAGTTTTCTGAGGTCCTGCACCTAATCTTTCAATATGTGAACGGTAGTCAGACTACAGTGGGGGCTTGCTTAGTTTTACATAGATGAAGTTGATCCATCAGGCTTACCCACATTAGTTGTGACCATGAACAAAAAAGAAGGCAACAGATCTCAGGAGAATGCAAAGCAGAATGCAGAGCTCAATTCCTCCTCAATTAGGAGCTATAGAGTGGAGGAAAGGGAAGATCGTCGTACCCCTTAGAGAGGGGTGGCCTTTTTGAACATGTTTTGAATCCCCTCATCCTTGCAGCCATTTCCCACGGCCTCACCAGTTGATAGAATGTCATCGGCATCCATCATACTGCATCTGCCTTATTTCATAGACCCTCCATGTAAACTCGGAACTCCTAATGGTAAAGCCTAGAATTCTGGCCACATGTCCCCTGAAACTACATTCTTTCTGAGGTCAGTAGCAATTCTCAAACCCAATGGATAAAACCGAGTCCTCATTTGGCTGGCGTTTGTACTATATTTGACCTAACTGTCCAGTCCCGCACCCTCCTCTCAGAAATGATCTTCTCCCCGTGGTTCTCTTTGTGGGTCAATGCCTCTCTCACTCTCACTTTCACTCTGACTGCCTGCTCCTTCACTTCCGCCTCTCTGAGCTTCACAGCTCCATTTTCTTATCCACAGACTTTGCTAGGCCTGCAGCATTTCTGCTGCCCTGCATCATTAACTCACTTGTGGCTTTAGCTTGTCATGAGATCAGAGCTGACCACATGTCTCCGTGATCATTTGATCCCGTGTATAATACTGTATGGTCAGTCAGAGTCACCGACCATATATCTTGAGACAAATGTCTGAGATAGAGAATCTGCTTGGTCACAACGGAGCCAAAGGATGGACTGACTTTGAGCAGGTACACGCTCTGGTCTAATCAGCTGTAGACGGTGATAAGTACGCTACCCGGCCAGAAAGCCCCAGAGGGAGCACTGGGCAAAGGCCAACTGACTGTAAGTTTATGGCATAGGAGTTCTTCACTCTGTGCCCCCAGCTCGTCAGCTCGTCTCTACCATAATCCATTATTTATCTCTTGTTATTCCCTGCCTTCCCCACTTTTGCTACATCCACAATGGAAGTTTTACCATTTTTTCCATACTTTTTCAAGCTTTTGCAAATGTCTGCCTGAACTGTCCTCTACCATTTCTTTGTCAGCAAAATTTATTTCTTAAGATCCAAATTCACCTTCTCTGGAATAATTTCCTTACCCTTGTAGGCACTGTTGTCATCTCTAGGTTCCCATTCTCCTTTGTATTTATTCCATTTTAGTACATTTTCATAGTTACTATACTCCATGGGCCCTGTTTATTAACTCGTCTTCCCTAATAGAATGTGAGCCCCTGGAGGGACACGTCTAGCTCTTTAGTCATCATGGCTTTTTCACCAGTGCTTAGGACTGTGTCAGGAATGCAGTAGGGAGGCAATAAACGTTTTCTGAAAGAATCCGTATATAAGAGAATGAAGTATTTGGAGAGAAAATAGAAACAGTAAATCAGGGGTCAGTAAAAGAGGAAGAAAGAAAACGATAGTACTCAGGCTATAAATGACAGTCGTCCTCTTTAAATACTTTTTGCCAAACAAATACACCTGTGCAAGGCAAGTTTGTACTGCATCAATTGACTTCTTTATAAAAGGTAAGCCTACATTTATTGGGAAAGAAATTGATATTATAGCTTATATACACAATGAATACCATTTTCAAACTCCTTTTCTATAAAATAAATAGTAGCTTTTCTTAATGTTGACATCCTGGGCAAATTCTTAAAATAGCAAAACCTGGAATTGATCAGCATTATTAAATCTTTCTAAATGGTGTTAATCTGGGATAAGAATAGGAGATGAGAAAATTTTTCATTTATGGAAAATGTAGAATTATATACTTTTAAAACAAGGAACTGTTTCAGTTATTTATGACTGCAAATAAGCTATCCCAAAACCAAGTGACCTGAAACTACCATCTTTTATTTTATCTCAAGGTTTTCTCTGCCGCGAATTCAACTAGGATTCAACTGTGTCCTTTACTCCACATGTCATCGACTGCTGTCACTTTGCGATATTTAGCTGGAAGCTGAGCTGAGGTGGAGAGTTCAAGATGGCTTTCTCACATGCCTGGTAGCCTGGGGGCGGCGGCATGGGGGCGGTGCTTCACCAGTGACGCTGAACTTTGTAAATGACAGCTTCAGCCTCCAAGAGACCACGGCAAAAGTTGCTGTCTTCCTAAAGATCAGGACCCGAACTGATGCAGTGTTGCTCTTACTGAACTCTATTGGTCAAAGCAGTGACAGGCTGGGCTAGATTCAAGGGTGTTGAGGAATAGACTTCATCTCTTGATGGGGGGAGTAGCTTGTGATACAAGCAGAGAAGAAAGAAAGGTGGCCATCCTAAGGACAGCTACGATGGAAATAAAATTTTATTTCTTTTAAGAAGGTGGGTAACTTGATTCAGGTTTAAATCTGTCGATGAATAATTATGGAGTATGTATTGTGGGCCTTACTCTCTGCTCAGTTTATCCGGCCTGCCTTAAAGCCCTTAGAAGGCCTCTTTTCACGATAGACGTTACTGCTGATGATTGCTTCCTGGAAAAACCGTCTCAATTTTGCCTTAAAAAAACCCAGCCCTCCCTGGGTTGAGTCTCAGAAGAAGCAAAGTCTCATTCTAGCTACCTGTGTGATTTGGGGCAACTTAGCAGAACTTTTCAGAGTTTCTGTTTCTTTATCTGCAATATTTATTTAACAAGTTTTAGTATCTACTCTATATCTGTTCTGGTCTAAGTACTAATGATACAAAGAAACACAGGACTATTTATGCCTCAAAGAACTCACAAGGAAAGGGGCACATTCATATGTAAGTATAATGTACAGTTTTACAACAGTTAGTACTGATTGCTAAGGTCTCTTTCATGTCTAAAGTTGTGTGACTCTATGAGTTTTGATTAACTTATACATGATTTATATGTAAATGAGTGTCTTTGAAGAAATTATTCTGTTAAGGATTTAAAATATGCATCTGTACAATTTGTTTACGTTATTAATTTGTAATTGACTGCATTTTAATCTCTTCTTACAGAGTCATAAGACTCTAGAACTGAAAGTGGTTAGGAATGCATTCACTCCTTCTTCTATAGACAAAAAAACTGAGACACAGGTTAAGGAACTTTGGCTTACATCACACAGCTTGTTACTGGAAAAGGAGGCCACACCAATGCGTTCTGCACTTCACAGACCTGCTTGCTTTTAAACACACTTTAGTCCATTATCTCTTTGCCCACTGAGATGCTAAGTTCTAGAGCTCTGCCAGTTTTATTGCATCTTGTTCACCTTCTCCAGAATTCCTGTACTGTTTTGATGAAGAGAATCTCTCTACTTCACAAATTTTGGAATTCATATGGTGATATGTTAACACTTCTTTGGCCATGGGGGAAGGTCCCTAACTATGTACACACTAAGACATAAGGTTACCAATTCTACTTTCACTTGCACTATAATTCCTAACTAGGGTGAGCCTAGAAAATATAGTTGTTCACAAAAGTAAAAATTTTCATTTCTCAAGCCATAGTATTAGACTAGTTTTTTATTACTCATAATCAACAAGACATGCACTAGAGACACAGCTTTTCTGAACCTCTTTTCTTTCTCTGAGCTGTCAGGGAGAAGCATAGATGTCCAGACTACTGGCACTGGAATTGATCTTAGAATACCTTGAAGTCGGTCTCCACATTTTCCAGATATGAAAACTGAGACCAGGGCTTAACAGGCTTTTCTAGGTCCCATAGACAGTCATCAGAACTTAGAGTCCAGCTTTCTCATTCCCAAGCAGTGCCTGTGTCTAAATGAAGGAGCTTTGCTGGAGCATCCTCAGAAAATTATATTGTAATTTTGGAGGAATGCAAAAAATGAAAGTAAAGCTATTCTCCTCCAAAAAGAAATGCTAATAGTTGCTATACATCAGAGAAATGCTTTCGAAATCTATCCTTCTCTCTCATTCACAAAGACATTTTCTTCTCAGGTGGTTCAATCGGTCTATATAATAGGCCCTGAATGATAGGCAAACAGCAATTTGCCTTAAGGCAAGTACGACAAAAGGGAGGAGACTTTCACATTTGCCTCAATAATGTTTTGTTGATATCAAAATGGTTGGCTATGGAAATTCCTTGAGCCATTGTTTTCTGCCTACAGATGGTTTCCTCAAATTTTTTCAAATTAAGAAATTGTTGACATTATATTTTAAAGATAAATATTTATGCAAATTAGGTCTTCCTTCAACTTCAGCCAAGATGAGTGTGGACACACTATAAACCGGGGCAGAAACTATTGGGAGACAGCCAGGCCTTGCAGCAGTGCTGAGCACATTTGTGCCCAGTGGTGGCATATTGGTCTCTTTGCTATTTCTCTTCATTTAGCCCCCAAAGACCACCAAATCTTCCTGTGTAAATCTTTTTAACTCTTCTGCACTCTTCCCTCTAAACTTATACTCCTTATCTTACTGTGATCTTTCTTGTGTTTTCCGTTTTTCAGATATCAGCATAAATCTAAGACAGGACAATGTTCAGGCATCACAAGAGTTTATATCACATAAACCAATCATCTGAGAGAAAAAAATCAATAGTTCACTTTTATTCTCTATGTATGGATGTTATATAGACCTCTTATGACTCTACCTGTATTTTGAGTTAGATAGGAAGAATTTGGTTTATTTTCAGAATAGGCTCCAGTGAGTAGGTTCATTTCTCTTGACCTAACTATGAAGAAAACACTTAGATCTTTCAAAAATATCCGATTCTGACTCCCAGGCAGAAATGCTACTGGCGTCTTCCCTAGTGGCACACTGGTTAGTAATCAGCCTGCCAATGCAGGGACACGGGTTCGAGCCCTGGTCCGGGAAGATCCCACATGCCGCGGAGCAACTAAGCCCGTGCGCCACAACTACTGAGCCTGTGCTCTAGAACCCGAGAGCCACAACTACTGAGCCCAGACACCACAACTACTGAAGCCCGCACACCTAGAGACCGTGCTCCACAAGAGAAGCCACCGCAGTGAGAAGCCCGCGCACTGCAGTGAAGAGTAGCCCCCGTTCGTCACAATTAGAGAAAGCTCACATGCAGCAACGAAGACCCAACACAGCCAAAAATAAATAAACAAACAAACAAATAAATAAAAGAAATGCTCTTGGATTCAAATCTGACCTTCGGGGTACAAATGCTGGAGGCTATTCACTTACTCTTCTCAGTGGGATTTGCTGATATTTTCCTCTGGTTCTAATGTAGCCAGCAGTCATGTCTTTAAGACAGCTTTTAAAAAATTAAACAGAGAAAGCAAAAAGCTAGCCTCAAGGATATAGGCAAACAGAGGCCAGACTCATCTTTTTGGCAGACTAAGACATCTCCATCTGGTTGTGGCCGCAAGCCTAATGAGAAGGAAAGGCATTAATTGAATAAACAAACAACACAGTTTGATCAGAGGAGGCAATACAGGCAGTTAGCCAACTCCCAGCTTTTTCTAGGAAGGAATTACACATATTCCAAGGACTTGGTTTGGTCTCACCCTCCACAATCACTTCCAGAGAAAGAACTTCAGCGTATATGCTTCTGAATCATTGAACTTATCCTGCATTTGGGCTTTACCTTAGAGGCTAAAGTTAACTGTAACATCTTGGTTGCATCCCTTCTGCATGAGGAGAGACTGAAAGACAGAACTATCCCAGGCTCCAGGTTTGAGGAGATACATAGCCTAGAACAGTCTGTTGGCTCTCTTCACTTGCTGGCTCCCATACCCCATGTGTCTCATAGTCTACCCTCAGGGAAGTTGGGAACACTCCACTTTGGGTCCTGTCTTCACTACACTATTCATGGTGGAGACAGATGATATGAAAAGCTCTGAGTGCTGTTTTTCCTCTATTATCTGGTCCCTAGCACAGCTGTGGTACCTCACTGGAACCTGGCCTAATGGTTTTATGCAGTCAGATAATTATTCACAGGACTTATCTTCACTGAGCACATTCTGGCGAGAAAAATAATAGCAGGATACAGGAAATATTATCTGCCTCAAATTCAAAATTGGCTTGCAAAGACTTGATTCTGGTTGATGTTATGAAAGGAAAATGAATGGTCTGCTTTTCTTGGGTATGAGTACATTTGCTGAGCCCCTCCCCGTAACTGCACAACCATATATCAAAAAATACAGGTGTTCCATACTGTTTTCCAGTAATGGAGATGGATAATAGAACCATGTATATTACCTCTGTTGTTTCTTGTTGACCAACACAATACCACAATGGTATGCATATGTGCCATGATATTGAGCGAGGGAAGTCCCATCTCTATTTAAGTTTATATGTATGGCTCCAGGTGACCTCTATTAAAACATACAAATGTTACCTGGAAGGGAGACATGCTGACGCTTTGATCCCCGAAGAGCAATTTAGCAGGTTTAGTTACGGTTAGGTAGCTTGCATCCAAAGACACAAGATTTTTTGATAGAGAAGGAAATTAAGAAAGATTTCTTAGAAGTTCGGGTCTTTGTAAGTTGTAAATTAAGGACACTATACATTCAGGGGCTATCACTCAAGATCTGAGTGCCTCGGTGATGTTTAGAGAGAAACGACTAGAAGTCCAGGAGGAGGGAAACCATAGAGAAAGTTGGGAGAGATGACAGTGATGACGGATAAGGTAAAATAGTGCCACAGGCAAAGCTTGAGTGAAACTCACCTTTGATTTGAACGTAAACTTTGAGGAATTCAAATGACCTTAAGAAGAGTAAATCTTGTTCAGATATATTACTTGAAATTTGTATATAGACTTTTTAAAAAGTCGAAAAAACTAAAAACAACAAACATCTTGCAGCCAACTGACCTGAAGTTTGGATTCATCCTTTTCAAATGGAAGAGTGAATGGGACTATTGGCCTATAAATTACCAGTACATGTTCACTTGTTCTATTGGTCACTGCACGAACTATCATTGCTTCCCATGGTCAGTGTTAGGGAGCCACCTCCATGAAATAGCCTTTTGCCACTGCTACTTTTCCATCTTGGTCACTTCACACAGCTGTTAATGACTTATGCTTCAATCCAATCCCAATTACAAAAACAAAAACAAAGGCAACACTGACCTTTATGCTCCAGCATTTCTTATTGCAATAACTTTCTTCCTTAGGTTGTGGCCAAGATGACAATACCTTAGCCAAAATCATTTGACAAATAAAACTGGTTACTTTACCTCCTGAACCATGGATAAAGAATCAAGTATATTAAGGCTTCCCTGGTGGCGCAGTGGTTGAGAGTCCGCCTGCCGATGCAGGGGACACGGGTTCGTGCCCCGGTCCGGGAAGATCCCACATGCCGTGGAGCGGCTAGGCCCGTGAGCCATGGCTGCTGAGCCTGCACGTCTGGAGCCTCTGCTCCGCAACGGGAGAGGCCACAACAGTGAGAGGTCCATGTACCTAAAAAAAAAAAAAAAAAAAAGAATCAAGTATATTAGAAAAATCCCCCTGTTTGAAGGAATGCTTTACAGAGAGTGGGTAAAACTAATTTGTTTTGTGTTTATACCTTCTATTGGATGTTCTAACATATTGATATTTCTACTCAATTAAGTCTTTTCATAATGTCTTAATGCCTGGTTTCAGAGTGACTCCAAACGCAGTAACATGAAGTTCAGTCATGAAATGGGTGGCAGTACATAGAAGAGTAAAATTTCTGAGAATCTCAATCTTCCTAAATCAAAGAATGCCTTCCAAGTTTTTGGAGATTACTAAGAAAGGAAACATAAAAAATGATTAAATTTCATCCCCAAATTGGAAAATGAGTTATATAGGCACTATCCACAGACACACACCATCTTAAAAATGGTCTTTTAAATTATCCCAGAAAACTCAAACTTCCTGCTCTCTACGAGGGCCTGGAAGCACTCCAAGAGAGTGAAGCAGAGGCCCCTCCTGTGGAGAGTGCAGCAGGAAGCCGGAAGTGGAATGAGAAGGCAACCTGCTTTCAGGGGATGAATTCCTCCCTGGTCTTCAAAACCCACAGTACGAACCTGAGCTCCTGTTCCAGTTTAAATTATTTCAAGCACCTTCTACCACCTTGAGTATGACTGCAAACTTTAGAAATTGTCTTGTTTGCTACAATTTTATCCCTTTTTATTTTCTGATTGTACTTTCCTCCTCCTCCCTGCTCACCATAGTCCTTCAACTCCAGTTGTGTGAAACATACTTTAGGAAAAGTGGATTTTGAAAGGAAGGAAGGACAATAGAAGAAAGGAGAGAGGGAGAGAAGGGAGGAAGGGAGGAAGGTAGGAAGAAAAGGAAGAAGGGAGGGAGGGAGAGAGGGAGGAAGGGAAGAAAGAAGAAAGGGAGGGGAAGAAAGAAAAAGAAAAAAGAGAAAGAAAGAATTTGCTTGCTCACTTATCATATACAGACAGAACTCTTTTTTGGTAGCAGTTTTTCTCATCCCAAAAGAAGGTGTCTTGCTTCTTACAGCATTTAGCATATTTCATTCAATGGGATGTTTTAAATTCAATTTTTATGTATTCCAAAAGCCTGTCAGAAACATAGAATTTGAAAAGTATTATGTAACTGAGTCACAGAACTGGGTTTTTGTGTGTGCCAGATCAGTTTACTACTTAGTAGCCACTTCATTTGCCAAGACTGAGAATTTAAAAGATATTCAACTTGAGTTTAGAGTTTATATTAAGCTCATAGTAGAATAAAAACAAACTGTTAGCCTGAGTTACTACCAAAAAAAAAAATATTAAACTGTAGGAAACTTCGGCTATAACTTGTGAATAACCTAGAAATCATTATTCATAAGTGGATAGGATAATAAACGATACATTAAAAAAAACTAGTTTTTCTCCCTCTGAGGTTTAGCTTTTCAGCTGGGGGTGGTTTGCTCCCTAGAGGACACTTGGAAATATGCGGAGGAGGTTTTTGATTGTCATAGTGACTGGGGACAACCACAGGCATTTAGTGAGCACAGCCAGTGATGCCAAATAACCCTCAATGCATACAACACATTCTGGCTTGATGAAGAACTGTCACATCACAACGTCAACAGCACCTCTGTTGAGAACCAATGGTGTCCCTCTTCTGTATAGGTATGACATATGGGAGATATTAGGAAACTAGAATGCATAACTTTTTTTTTTTTCAGTGCAATCACAGGCAGATAAAGTGAACTAATTAGGAAACAGAAACTTCAGAAACTTTCTCTTCCTAAAATCATAGCTAACACCCAATGTAAGCAACTGTAATTTAAATTCTCCAGGGTTGTGCCCAGGGGCCTGCTGGCTTTATGTAAGGTGGCAGTGTGCTAGAAACTGCTCACCTCATTACAACTAAAAGTTGTGAACATATCCCAGAAAACAAAAGAGTTTCTACGATTCCAAGTGCTCAGCATCGGGACAACTGTGAAGGGTTAATAGTGTTGAACCTGAAAAATAGGATTGAAAATTAACCTTAGCCCCGTTAAGAGCCCAGACATCATTGTTTACACTGATGATGGAATAAATATCAGACTGAAAAGCCATACATATATCAAGGAACAGAGGGTAAAATAAACCATCTATTTAGTTTGGTCTTGACCAAGTAAACGTTTTTATCATTTCTTTCCTGCATGGAGAAGAACTAAGGCTGGACTCATATCTTTTAAATTTCATCAAATGTTTGATTTAATGATTTTTCAAACCGACTAAGTAACTAACCTCTTCAAGTCCATTAGAGCACGATCCCCTAAAGGCAACATCAATTTATTACATTCTTTTTTTTTAAAGCTTTTAAGATGTAATTTCTCATCCATGAGAGTGACCCAGAATTCAGTTCTCTACGATTGAACTAAAAAACTCATGAACATCTTGGTTAATCTCACTGTTTATGTTTAGATATTGCTACTTCCATCCAACAAGTCTCTAGCTTTAAAACTGTTTCATATAAATAGATCCATGTGAGCTTTCAAAAATATTTTTGTAAATCCTTTATGGTGAAATTGAGTTTCATTGTGTATTTCTCTGTTCTCAATTTTTTGAGTTATGCTGGAAAGTAAATTAGATAAAATAATTATTTGGCTTTGAACTGCGTTTCGGCTATTACATTACAGTTCGTTGAAATATACTTTAGTTTTTTGTTAGAAAACTCTTTGCCATTATCTTAATCCTCACAACAATCATCTGTATTTCCAAACTACAGCACCGGAGCACTTGAACGACTGGGTCCCAAGGTCTAACATTGGAAAGGGACAGATAAGCCCTCCACTTTGAAGCTTTTCCTACAATAGTATATAACCTTCCCACTTTCATTTAAATGTGAGTGCTTCATATTTTAGCTAATAAAAACATTTAATAACATCACGAAACTGCTACAATGCAGAGACCTGAACCTAAAAAAATTTGAATAAAGAACAAAATCCTTCTCCATTGCAGATGGAATAAAGAAATTTGTAAAAATTGACTTTACAGATCTCCTTTGGATATTTAGGCTTTGTAAGGCAATACAAAAATAATGGTTTTCAAATTTGTTTTATCTTTGTTTTTATCATAATGCATTAGTAAGAATTTTGATCAAGATTTGGATGATACCACAAATATGTTATAGAGTGATCAGGGGAATTAAAGCAATTAAAATTTTTGCTTCTGAGGACCATATTTCTGGTGTTTTTCTTCATTTTTTTTCAAAATCATATCAAGTTTTATAATTTGGTGGAAACATGGTGTTTTATAGAAAAAATGCTAGTGTTTATGTAAAAATGTTTTTCTATATGAAGTTTTGAATCTGATTAAAAAGTTTTTATGCTGACAGTATTCTTTTTTTCATTTTTAATCATCGTATCTGTCAAAGAAAAAGAGGAGATTAAATGATGAAAAGAGAAAAACTGGCATAAAAGTAGGTGATTTCAAGTTTTGATGAAAACATAAGCAGAGAAATTGGAGAGTAGCTGGAGGTTAAAATGAGAGTGATTGTTTTATTTTGTTTTGGTTTTAAGATGGGGAAAATGAGAGCCTGCATATGTGTTCATAGGAACCACCCAACAGGGAGAGAGAAATTGATGATTAACAAAAAAGAAGGGAGATAAATCAGAGGAACCTTCCTGATTAAGCAAGAGCAGATGAGATCTGGTACATATGTTAGGAGAATAGATTGGGAGAATAGACTGTTAAAACCAACAATAGCAGGGAGGGCTGAGTATGTGCACACAGATACATATAGATGGGTAGAGGAGGTGGTAGTTGTTTGTGGACATGCAGCGCTAGTGACTTCTACTTTCTTAGTGGTATCTCTGCCTTACACTTAAAGAAGCCTGCTCTCAGACACTTTACTTATATGAAAGTATAAATAACACTAAAAGTTTGAAGTATTACCTGCTGTAGTATTTGCTGGGTAACAAAGGTGAAAGCTTTCATTTAAACTGCAGAAAGCCTAGCTCATCAAGACAACCAAAAAATAAAACAAAAAAGTGAAGATGCACTGGGAGGGAAGGAGTATAGGAACCTCCCACTTATACTACATCACAAGACAACTGTTCCTTTACCCACTTGTCAAACCTGTTCCATTTTATCAAGGAATAGATTGGCCTTCAGCTTCTCTAATAACAGCTCATAGGTGCAGAAGTTCAAGGAAAAAAAGAAGATTGGTACGGAGCATGCTACAGTTGGTAAGATTATCAATGTCACTAGAGGCATGAGGTCTTAGCATAAAACCAGACAAGCTTAATGCCAGACAATTTGAATTCAAGATTGAGAACCCCCCGTGTATGACATACAAATTAGCTGCTGCCAAACCACAACATTTCATCAGCAGAGAGGCTCTCTGATTTCAGTCAGTGAAGGGGTTAGAGTTGAGAGGGGCTTAGCAGTCTGGATAATACAGTCCAGTCTGAGGACTTTAAAGAATTCTCAGATTCTTAACCCCAAATCACATTTAACAGATTTTTTTTTTAACTGCACAGCATCCTCATGGTATTAACTTTTCAAATTGATAATATATCCCCTTCTCCTCCCTTTCCATGAACACATCTCATTTCATAGATGCTTAGACATTTTTTTCACAATGATTTTTCCTTCTCTGGGACCTGCTCCCTCTGCAGATAATAATCGGTAAGAATGGGCTCTTTACAGTAATGCAATACCCCACTTGACCATAACTGAACTCCTGACCAAGCTGGCTACTCATATTCTCTCCTCTGGGAATTAAGAATTGGGACTGCCAATCCGTCCTTACCTTTGAGTGACTTGTAGCATATGAAGTCAGTTGTGGAATGCTGTCTTCTCCTTCATAGACTACACACAGGGGAAGCCAGTCAGTGGAGATATGAGAATGCATATGGTAGGCAAAGAGAAG